GCTTGCGGGCCCAGGCCGAGGCTGGCGGGCCTGGCGGGGCCGGGGTACGTGGGGGAATCCTTGTCCAGCACATAGCCCACGTACATGGTGGCTGCGGGGCTCCCCGCGCATGCTGGGCCCTGGAGCCGCCGCTGCCGGCCGCCCCGACGACGAGCGACTGCTCACCTGAACCCGCCGGCCCTGCCGCCGCGCCCGCCCCACCCAGGCCTTTTATAGCTCGGGGCCGCCCGCGGCCCCAGCCGAGGCGGGTTTGCATTTCAAAGCGGGGGGAAGCCTCCGGGCCGCGAATCAAAGGGGGAAACCCGTCGGGGGCGGGGGGTTCAAAAGGAGACAAATTGCCGCCCCAAGCAGGAGGTGGACTGGCCAGGGCCTGGAGGGGGTGGGCGAGGGCCGAGGCACCACTACGTGTGGGATCGCCTGCGAGGCGGGCGGCCTTGCGGCCAGAACACCTCGTCCTTCCCGTGTCCGCGTGGGCAGCCGCGCGACCCCATTTTACAGGCGAAGAAACGGGTCCTGAGGGGAGGGGGGAACCCCAGGCCAGCGTCCCAGAGCCACACCGGGCCTGTGGCGCACTCCGCAGTGACCAGCTGGAGGTGAGAGGGCAACGCTGACTTCAAACAGGGTTCCCGTCTGTAAGGTAGCTGGTCTTTAATCTTTTGGGGGGAGGAGGGGTCACGACCCCTCTAGTCTCGGATAAAAGCTGTGGATGTTTCCCCCGGGAAAATGCACATATGCACATACATGAGTCTGCATGCAATTGGGGAGTTCGCCTGAGTTGGCTCTCTAGAGAAAGTTCTCAAAGGCGTGGGGTAGGATGGTCTTCTGAGGACATTCTGGGAAACTTCACAAATTCTCTTCAAGACCTCCTACCCTCTTTTTGTTATTATTATTGAGAAGTTTCAAGCATACACAAAAGTAGAATGGTGTAATAAGCCGCTATACACCCATCACCCAGCTTCAACAACTATCAAGACTTTGTCACTCTTATTTCATCTACTCCCCCCTTTCTTCCTGAAGTATTTTAAAACAAATTCCAGACAACCTGTCATTTTACCCCTACCTACTTCAGCATGCATCTCTAAAACACATGGACATCTTCTTACATAATATGCCATTATCACGTGTAACAAAATTAACACAAATTCCTGGGTATTACCTAACATGTATTCATATTCCAAGTACTCCTGAATTGATTCAAAAATGTCTTTTTAGCAGTTGGTTCGTGTGAATCAGGATCCAAAAGCCCTGATTCATTTATTACAGCTGGAGCCCCCTTGGCATTTTAAATGCATCTTGAATGCCCCCCCCCCAACCCCATTAAGGACTGGCAGACTTTTCACAGCTGCCCAAGCATGGGAGTAAATAGTTGAAGGGGCATCAGTGAACTGGGGGGCGGGCAAGGCTGAGGGATTTGGGGAAAGATTAATGAAGGACAGGGGTCCGGGTCAGGAAGCCTGGGGGAGATGGGTTCCCTCCCCACAGGGGGTTCAGAGCCAAGGAGCTGTGCAGAAGCTCCCTATGGGATTTAATCCTTACACATGTCCTAGGGGCCTCCTCAATGTGCAGGGACATGTGGCACCCAGAAGGGGGCAGAATGAAGGTCTTACCTGTTCAACCTGTCTCTCTCTCCGTCACCTCACTGGCTGGGCCGGTCAGCATCATCTCAGGGCTAGGCAGATGTGTCAGGATCAGGACATGATTTGCAGGGCTCAGTGCAAAATGAAAATGCAAGGTCCCTTGTGCAAAATGATTGGGAGTTTTAAGATGGTGACAGCAGAACATTAAACCCAGCCCTTCTAACACTGAGCCCTGTGTGACTGCACAAGTGACCTGCCCATGGAGCTGGCCCTGGTCAGAATCTGGCTCTTATACTGCAATAGAGCAGGGGACTCAGTAAGCCCAGGGCTCCCCTTCCTGCCCAAGGAACTTTTTCCATTACGCAGATGGAACCATTGTGTCTGGAAAGGAAAGCGTGTCCAAGTTTATGCAGCACAATGAGGGCTGTACACATGTGCTCGGATGAGCTTGGGACACAGGTGAGCACCTGGCTGCCTCAGCAGGGAAGGCCCCACTCTCCCAGGTCAGGAAGGGGACACATTGGTGAAATTTTCCTCAGTCATCTGGATCTCTGGGCTCCACTTAGGATTCAGCCTTTCAAGGGGTCAGTGAGAAACTGAGAAGTACAGAGGAGGCAGGAGAGGCCCAAGAGGACTGGACTTCACTTTCTGAGCTGAACTAACTGGGACTGCTCAGACTGGAGGGGGAAGAGACCTGGAGTGGGGTCTGAGTTTGGAAAGGGGGACAGGACAGACCTGGGACCTGAGAGAGAAATCTGCAGGCACAGATTTAAACCTACCCATACCTAATCAAGTGTTCTCCAAAGGCCATTTGTCATGAAATGGGCTGTCACGAGAGAGAGTTCACCATCACAGAGGGTATGTAAGGGACTGCTAAAAGCCCCCAGTTAAAGCTGTGGAAAGGATGCCTATCCTGGGGGAGGCGGGGGAATTTGGTGCCCTTTAGGTGATCTCTAATTCCAAGTGCGTGCTAAATCAGACCTAGATGCTAGGCTTAAATGTTGGGAACAGGTATAGGAATTCATTTCTTTATATATTCATTCATTTGACAAATACTGTATATATTAATATACCTCCTTTGTGCTGACCCTGCATTAGGTACTGGGTGAGGCCCTGCCCTCGGGGTGCTTACAGTGGGGGGATGGGAGGTGGACAGGTATGAATCAATCACAAATAAAGGTAAAATTACAGTTTGTAAGAGCCAGGAATAGGGAGATTTGACCCAGAGGGAGGAGTCAGGGAAGACTTGCAGGAGGAAGTGACCTGTGGGTCAAAGCCCTGGGAGTGGGGAAAAGCATTGTGGGAAAGTGTCAGTATGAGCAGAGGCCCTGGGGCCTGAGGTGAATTCTCCTAGAACTGAAAGTCCAGTCTGGAGTGGTGGGGGGCAAAGATGAGGCTGGTGAGGAGCAGACAAAGGCCTGGTGGGACAGGCCTGTTAAAGAAGTTATTATCTAGGGTTTAGAGTGGCAGAGAAGGGTGGCGGAAAGACAGCTGTGCTGGTGTGTGGAGAATGAGCCAGAGCAGAGGTGTGGGGCCCCAGAGCACCAAGGAAGCTGGACAGGGGTCCAGGAAGGACGGAGATGGCAGCCAGGACTCGGGATGTGGCTGAGAGATGGGGGACAAGGTGGCGGGGGAATTCCCAAGCAAAGCAAGGACTGTTTTACCGATCAGGGAGAGGGCAGAGCCAATGAGCCCTGAGGCCTGGGGATCCACTCCGCTGCTCCATGGTTCTCTCAGTACTGTGACCTCCCAGGGAGCATGTAGCTCCCACTCTGCAGACACATCGTGGGGAGGGCGTCCACCTTTCCTGCTGGTTTCTCCACTTGGGCCTGACTCCTAGCTCAGTGCCCTATCACTGCATCTCTCTGTGATTGCAGAGTTTGGCCCTGCAATTTGTGTTAGAGGAATAAGAATAATAGCATTGCTATTTATTGAGCATTTACTAAGTGCCACACATCATGCCAAGCCTTCTGCATGTATTATCGTAGTTCATCCTCACAAAAGCCCAGTGAGGTGGGGTTGATTGTTATCCCCATTTTGCAGATGAGGAAACTGGAGCTCAGAGAGGTGGTCACCTGCCTAAGGCCACACAGCAAGTCAATGACCTATACAGAAGTTTTTCTTTCATGTACAGCTGGGCCTGCCTATGAGGATAATGAAGATAGTGAGCCTGTGTGTGCCTCCCAGCCCCCCAACTTGTTAGCAGAGATTTTGCCTAAACAAATAGGTAGTTCCTCTTTCTCCTCTGGCTTCTTCATGCAAAAGAGCCTCTGCTCTCCCCTCGCCCTCATGCTTAGGTGGACCCCTCAGAGTCCTGAGCCAGCCCTCATGTGGCACCCCCAGCTTTCCCAACCCAAGGACACTGTAACCTTGTTTAAAAGACCCAGGCCAGGGGCCAGCCCGTGGCTCACTCGGGAGAGTGCAGTGCTGATAACACCAAGGCCACGGGTTCAGATTCTATATAGGGATGGCTGGTTGGCTCATTGGCTGAGCTTGGTGCTGACAACACCAGGTCAAGAGTTAAGATCCCCTTACCGGTCATCTTTTAAAAAAATAAATAAATAAATAAAAGTCCCAGGCCAGGAGTCTGAAATTGCAGGTTCTCCTCCACCTTGACCTCTGACTTGACATGTGTGGCCTTGAGCCCCTGGGCCTCAGTCTCCCCATGTGCCCACTGGGGACTTGTTGCTGCAGGTGGCAGTCCAGCCATGGCGCTATCCTTGGAGAAGCCCCCTGTCTTCCCTGTCCTGTCGCAGCCTCTTCCTCTCTGACAGCCCCTTATCTCTGGGAGTGGTTGTTTATTGGACCCCTCCTTCCTCTGGCTCCCCAGGTGGGCCCCTCTTTCCCCTGGAAGCCCTCTCTTCAGGCTGCTCTCACACCCGACCAGGGCCTCCAGGGGTGGGGCACAGAGATGATGGTCTCATAAAGATCTTAGTGATAACTTGGTTTTTAAATCAGGTTTATGGCCCTGGAAGAGAAAAGGTTCTGGGCTCAGCTTTCTGTTGGAAATGGTTTGCTTTAAGGAAGCTGGTGGGCACCAGGGCCAGCATTATGCCCACTGTGCCTCCACCTCTAGCCTCTTGAAGCTCTCTCTAGACTGTAGTTCATGGGCTTTTGACTGGGGGCCAGTCCCAGACAAGCCGAAACCTCGTTGTGTGACCTTGGGCAAGTTAACCCCCCTCTCTGAATTCCTGCTTCCACCTCAGAAGCAGGGATGGTAATTCCTGCTCTGCCTACCTCCAGGAGGCAGATGCAAGACCCACCAATAGGTGGTGGGACTTCTGTGAGGCATCTTTGCCTTCAAGACCCCTCTCCCGTCCCAACACCTTTCCTCTTCTCCTGCCCCCTCCAGCGGCTGGGGTGGCCACCTGCTGGCACTGTAGGGTACTACTGAAGGACTCACTGGCCTTTCCTTGTTGCCTAGTCTCAGCAATGTTAGCATGCCACTGCTTCTCCTCCTGGGGAAACAGAGGCGTGGGAAAGGGAGGCAGTTTCCCAGTGCATGGACA